TGCTGATGCAATTTATCCATGTCATGATTTCAAAAAAAAGAAAGAAAAGAAACTTTTCTCTTTTTTTTTTTTTAAGATTTAATATGTAAATTACAAATCAAATGTCTCGCTGTCAGTCCTCTATTACAAATGATAAATCAGTTAATTATAGCGAATTGTCTCTGAGTCTAATATGACTATTTTATGTAACTGGCTTTATAATTTTGTGTCATTACTTGCCTCAGAAAGCCTGTTTTGCATGAGATTTTCATGCATTTTGTTCCCTGCATAAAATGGTGTCAGATATGCCTGAGCTGACAATATAAGTGAACCCTATTATTTTTATAGTGCAGTCAGATATGCTGAACAATGTAAGAGAATAATGGTGGAAAGCCCATCTGACACTGAAAAGCTAATTGAAGCTTGCTTGTATTTCTCTGAGCTCTCCACACTGCCTCTTATTAATAGTAGGCTATGAGCTGCTTAATGAGCACCTGAGGCTATGACACTTTTAAATGAACTTGTCACTACACTACTTTTTACATGCAAGTTCATCTGTTTAGTCTTTTCCCCTCTTGGTTTTTTCTCTTTGTGCATCCAGTCAGCTGTGTAAATTTCTTCATTTATTCTTAAGGACATAATTAAACCAGATTTATCATAGGTCTGGATCACTATCATGTAGTCACTGTGATGGGGTTGATGAATATGACATGAAATACCAGCGCCCATTGAAGCCTCAGTATCCTGTTCTTGTATGACAAATTTCGAAATGCCTTGTGAGATGTTTTTCTGCTTACCACGGTTGTAAAGAGTGGCGATTTGAGTTGCTGTAGTCTTCCTGTCAGCTCAAAGCAGTCTAGCCATTCTCCTCTCACCTCTCTCATCAGGAAAGAGTTTCTGCCTTCAGAACTGTCACTCATTTGATGTTTTTCACACCATTCTGTGTAATCTGTAGAGACTGTCGTCTGTGAAAATCTCAGGAGATCAGCAGTTTCGGAAATAAACAAACCACAACATCTGGAACCAACAACCAATTCTGATGTTTGATGTGAACATTAACTGAAGCTCTTGACTTGCATGATTTAATGCCTTGCGCTGCTGCCACATGATTGGCTGATTGGATAATGAATGAGCAGTGGTGCAGGTATTCCTATTAAAATGGCTGATGTGTGTCCATGTTAACAGCAGTAATTTTATTCAGCACTTGCTTCACACAAATCTGGTTTTATCTGCTCTTGTATTTACTGGATAAATACTGTGTACAAATAACTGCAGAAGCTTTATCACTAACTCCAGTGCTATTATGTTCTCCAACCATGTTTCACAAGAAATTGAATTACATTGTGTATCACCTTTCACTGACAGAGAAATAATCTTATACCAGATCAATTGGCTATTGTCTAAAAGCGATATGAGATTGGAATATTTCAGAGTGCTCAAGAAGGTGAAAGTGAAGAGGCATGCTTACACACCAATCAATTTCTGCTCTGGTGGGGATTTGTCTGTGAATATTGTCAATAAATTCATAATGGTTTATTATGTAATATACCAAGCCGGACTCTTGGTGCCCCACCAAGGTTTATTATGCCTTACTACCTCTTCAGCGATGAGAACTAAAGCAGCTATTTAACTCCAATAGAAGTGAAGGGTTATACTGTTTTCAGAGCCATGCCTCTTTTTCTCGTGAGTTAATTGAATCTGAGGGGTTCCCTTTTCTACTGACCAGTTTGATTTAGGTGAGTTTTGGAGAGCTCTTTAGCGCCACTTTATATTCGCTTGAGAGGACAGCACTGCACTAACCAGCTGTGCACGAGAACATTGAGCCATTTGCAGTTACATAGCATGCTGACTGAGAATCTAATGTCTTCTATTACCATTAAAACACAATCACAGAAAAAACTCTGGTATAAATTGGGATTCCCTTGCTTTTAAGCTGTTGACCTTGCAATAATTCACAATCAACAAATGCTGTAATAAATGTGTTATTGTTCTGCTGACAAAAATGCCATTTTGATGGTTCCTTTCAAAACAATGGACTAAAATTGTTAAATTATTATTTATGAAAAAGAGGTAGAATAGAATATACATTTTATTATAACATTAATTATAATTCCATACATTTAATATTATGTATTTAATAATACAACATAACATTATATATATATATATA